GGGACGAAGTCACTTTGCCACCATAATCAATTAATGGGCCTTAATGTCTATAAATAAATATATTGGCAATTAATGGCCTATTGATGGGAAGTTAACGGGAAATTGCTGGCCTTTTACTATATTAATAAAGGTTATGTGTCAGGCACATGATCAGACCGGATATTCGATGGTGCCTCTTTGTCCAGTAGTACCGTTTGAACTATAAATTCTATACAAAAACAGAAGGCATTCAATATAGAATATTGTAGACATTTTATTTAATTCAGCTATATAATATAATAATACAGAAAAAAATGTCTTCTTCAAAAAAATTATTAATAAAATATTCTAAATTAACATGTAAAAATTACAATGAATACTGAATAGTGAATACCAGCAAAGCGAAACTGGCCTCATAGTACATGTCCACTCGTTAAGTATGTAACAAGCGATCATCGGTGTCTCCATCTATGAACGCGGGACGGAGCCCTCCTGGACTGTTGGAGTTGTGTCTGCGGCAGTTAGAAGCCTTTTGACTTTTTCCATGCTTTTACCCAATACAGTTATTTACCCTTAATAAGGCCATCATCAAGCAACGTAATGATGGACCACTATCGAAAGGCCAAAAGTAGGCTTTTATCTTTTAATCGTCGCATTAATTTTCCCTTCAATTACAGCAAAAGGCCATCAATATCCCGGCAATTTATTGTTTGTTGGGAAAGGTACTACATTTTGCTTCGAGTGTACCAGATTCATATAAAATGTACTAGAATCTAGTACAATTGTACTAGACTAGCAACACTGGACGCGATCCCCCTCCCTCTCTCTGTACTCCGTATAGTATCCCGGTATCGGTTAATACCTCTTTCGGACATCCAAAAGTTATTACGATGTCATAAAAAACGGTGCTCAGGCTCTTTGCTGTGGCAGTGCGAATGGCTTTGCATTGAACCCATTTGGTAAACCTATCCATGAATATGACAATGTATGCATTACCACTCTTACTCCGGGGTAACGGTCCAACAAGGTCTGTCCTAACAACCTCCCAAGGTTGCCGGTTCAACGAGGGGTTAATCTTCCCCAGCATCTGCTGTTGTAACGGTTTCTATTTTTGACACTACATACAACTTCGAATATACTTGGTAATATCTCGGAACATTCCAGGCCAATACAGGGATCGGCATAAGTCTGGCAACGCTCGAAAAATCGGCATAAGTCTGGCCAAAGTTATCTGGAAATGCATGCTCGAAGATTTACGTGGGCAAATGGACAATGATCCAACACTCGCGAACATCCGTCATTTCATGCAGAATGAAGCTTCGCCGCACTACGCGTTATATGTGCGGGAGTTGGAGAATGGATAGGCAGACGAGGAATCTTTGAGTAGCCCGCACGGTCCTGTGACCTGTCACCCTGTGATTTCTTCATGTAGGGCCTTCTCAAGGACCGCGTTTTTGCAAGAGGACCATGCACCCTTCCCGAGCTCCGAACTGCAATTGAAGAAGAATTTGAAAATCTTCGCGGACACCTTAACATGCTTCGCCTGACCTGTCTCTCTGTTGCGAAACGTTGCCGTCAATGTATTGATCAAGATAGGCATCAATTTGAACACTTAAACTAACCCTTTTTCGAATCCTCTTTGTAATTTCTTCGAATAAATTAATTTTGACGCTGCATTTTTTTATGCAAATTTGTTGCCTGACTTATGCCGACCCCTGTAGTATTGCCTGACGATGCGGGTGATAGTTTTGTCGATTTCGGCATGGCCTGTGGTCGGCGTATCATGGTTCTCTCTCAGAACGCGGTCTCTTTGCAGCTTTGGAATACATAACTTCCACGGATCGGACAATTCTGGTTCTTTGTAATCATTTATGTCCCAAAAATGACGGTATAGGCGGTTTTCTTTGATGCAAAATCCGGCAGTGGCATAGTATGTGAATAGGAGTTTCGTCCTCCTCTTCACATATTCTGCATAGGGAGTCATCAGATATCCCTAAGAGATTTAGGTGTCTTCTAAGGCCGCAGTGACCCGTAAGGAGTCCTATTACGGCCTTGAGTTCTCTTCTGCTAAGGTTTAGCAGTTGGTGTTGTCTGCTCGTGGATGGCCCCTCTATGAATCTTTTGGACTGTCTAAGTCCAGGAAGTTCCATCCAGAGCCTATGGTGTTCTCTTTTTATTTGTTCCTTTAACACCCATTTAACATGTTGGTATGAGATACCACATGTGGGTTCTGGTCCAATAAGAGTTTTTTCCGCTCCCTTCCTTGCTAGGAGGTCTGCTTTCTCGTTTCCAAGCACTCCCTCATGACCTGGCACCCATTCAAGAGTGACCTTGTTATGTTCTGCCAGAGCCTGGAGGGATTGTTGGCAATCAAATATTGATTCAGATTGTACTTCTACCCTTTTTAGTGCTTTAAGGGCTGCCTGACTGGTCATGATAACGATTCTCTTATCTCTAAGAGAGTCATTTAGCATGACTTTGGCGCAGGCATTTATTGCTGTTACTTCAGCCTGGAAGACTGTTGTCAGTGACCCCAGGTTCAAACTAATTGTCCTCCCTGAGTTCACATGGTAGATCCCAGCTCCTGTGCTGTTTTTCATTTTCGAACCGTCTGTATACCAGATTGATTCGTTTTGTTTTTCCCTTTTTTCCCGGCTTTTGGCCCTTTCTGGTATTTGAATATCAAAAGGTTTCCTGAAGTCGTGAATAATGGGCGTTCTATCCGATGGCATTCTTAGTACCGGATTTTGTTTTAATTTCTCTAATATCATTGTGTGGTGTCCTTTTCTCGAAAGTTCCCATCCAAATCCATTAGTAAACAGCCTGTATGCCGCCGCCATAGCCTCCTTCTCCACCACAAGGTGTAGTGGAGGAAGACCAAGCAGTAGCTCCATTGCTGCTGTGGGCGTAGTTCTAAATGTCCCTGTTATTATTAGACAGGCTAGTCTTTGTACCTTGTCTAATTTTCTTTTAGCTGTTATGCTTTTTGTCTTTGTGCCACCATATGACTGATGAGTAAGTTATAACAGGTACTACAACCATAGTGTAAAGCCAGTGCATCATACTTGGTTTAAGCCCCCATGCGTTCCCTACCATCCGTCTACAGGCCCATAGTATTCTTACAGCTTTTTCTGTTGTTTTTTTCTATATGGCTGCAGAAGCTAAGCTTGTCATCGAGAGTGATTCCAAGATATTTAACCTCCTTTGCCATTTTTAGATGTTGTCCCCACATATAAAGCTCCTTCATTCCTTGAAGGTTTATTTTTCTTGTGAATGCAACGACAGAGGTTTTTGTCGGGTTTGTGGACAATCCCTCTTTTAGGCACCATCTTTCGACGATATTTAGTGCCCGCTGCATCCTTTCGGATACAACAGTCCCAAATTTACCGTTTACTACGATGCTTATGTCGTCTGCAAATGCTTGCGTGTATAAGTTTTCTCTCTCTAACTCCCATAAGAGGTCATCAACCACCAAGGTCCACATAAGAGGAGATAACACTCCTCCCTGCGGGCATCCCTTGTTAACTGAGACCTCTCTTGTTGTGTTAAGGAGATTACTGGTAATGGTTCTATGATTAAGCATGAACTCTACCCACCTCGTAATGCAGTGGGCTACTCCACGCTTTTGCATAGATCCCAGTATTGAATTGTATGAAGCCGAGTCAAAGGCTCCTTCTATATCTAGGAAAACTTCTAGTGCTATTTTTTTGCTTTCCAATGCTTGTTCAGCCCGTTGAATTAGCCTATGTATGGCTGCATCGCAAGACTTTCCAGATTGGTAGGCAAACTGGTATCGATGTATCGGTTTACCCGTAGAACATCGTCCCGTATATATCTATCGATCAATTTTTCCAATGTTTTTAGGAGAAATGACGTTAGGCTGATTGGTCTGAAAGATTTGGTCTCCTCGTATGACGCTTTTCCTGGTTTGGGAATACCAGTAGGACGAACGAAAGATCCTATTGAAGGCGAGTTCTGTATTATGTCATTTAAGTTCGCCCATCGTATCCTAGATATGGTGTTAAGCATTTTCTCAGAGATAGGGGAGATAAAGATAGGAAACGCCCATAAGAAGCCAATGCTTAACAACGACCAGCTTTATCGCAGTTAACATCTGACCCACTATCTGGCGCTTTCATCGACATCAAACAACGCAGCGGGAATTTTTAAAACCTGATAATAAAAGTTGTATAAATATCGACTGCACTCTGATGTTCTTGTAAATAAACTTAAACAATGTAATCACGCTAAATTATTTATTAAAAAGAATACTACACTTACAGTCTATTATCGATTAATTATTGTAAATCTATATTCATGACAAATATTTTTTAATTTTTGGTTATTTGTAACATTGCATTTTTTTTATTTTCCAAACTAATGGCCAATGCTATCTTATTTAAATATGTTGAGGCAACTTCAATAATGGGAATTCAGATATCTTTCTTCCTATATCAAATCTTCTTTCTAACGTTTTGAAGCCATTTTCTTGTTCTAAAACAATAAATAATACATAAATACCTACTTTGTGACAAAAAGTGATTACTAATTGTGTTACTTACATGAATAGATCTTACCTACCCCAGATAGCACACGACGTCTGAAAGACGTCTTTTTTGTGTCTTGGTTTGGTCTCAATGTCCTAGGACGTTATTAAGACGTCTTATAAGACGTCTTGCAAAAGCCATAATTCAGACGTATTAATGTGAGAGCTCAAAGACGTTCTTAAGACGTCTTAAAGACGTCTTGCCAAATCTATATATTAATGTGAAAGCTCAAAGACGTCTTTAAGACGTCTTACAAACGTCTTTCAGTCGGACGGAAACTTGCACGGTTTACATAATTCAAATTTAACAAGAAGAATCAAATGAAGTGCATTACAAAGGGCAAAGAAAACACGCAAACATACAGAAGACACAGGCAGGATCGAAACCTACCCTCAGACACAACCCATGGATACGCATGATGCAAATAACGAGTTTATCTCGCCCCCGAAAATCAGTGGTCATTTAAAGCGTGTAATGAAACAAAAAGTTATCGCATCCCTACCAAAACCTGTAGAAACAAAGAATAGGTTCCAGGTTCTCACAGAGAGCGAAGAGGAAGATGAACAAATAATGGAAGAGAGACTAAAAGCAAGAAAAGAGAGGCGAGAGAAGGCTGAAAACCACAAAAAATCATTGGCAGAGAAGTCAACAGTAAAACCTCCCTCAAAAGATAAAAACGAACCCCCACAAAAGAAAAAATCGGCAATGCCACCTATAGTGCTCGAGGGAGTTCCCGAAGACCACAAAGGGCTGACAGGGGTACTTAGAGAAATCATAAAGGGTAACTTCAACGTGAAATACACGAACAACTCCACCATAGTATTCACAGAAGACAAAAGTGACTATGACAGAATACTTGAAAATATAAAAACTGAAGAGATGGCGTTCCACACTTACACAAGTAAAAGTGATAAGTCCCACGCATTCGTCCTGCGCGGACTAGGGGACGGAACCAAAATAGAGGATCTAGAAGAAGATCTAATGATCAACTACGAAATAAAAACCAGAGCAATATACAGGATGACCACGCGAAACAGACCCCTATACCTGGTGGTGACAGACCCGTCTATCACTATGGAATATCTTAACCGGAACGTCAAAGTGGTATTATACACCAGAATTACGTGGGAATTGAGGCGATCTACCAAACTTATTATTCAATGCCACAACTGACAGGCGTGGGGGCATGCCACGTCGAACTGTGGACGACTACCAAATTGTCTAAAGTGCGCTGCAGGACACCACACTAAGACCTGCTTAAAGTCCAGAGACACACCCGCCACATGTGTGAATTGTGGCGGCGACCACCCAGCCAATTTTACTAAATGTAAATCCTATCTAGACAGGGTGGCTAGATTAGACGAAAGAAAGCTGACAACAAACAACAAAAAGAGCTACAAACCCGCTCCCCTACCAACACATAATAGGTGGGAAAGCAGAAAGGAAGCCACAAACTCAACAAAATACAACACAGAGTTCCCTCTCTTGCCGGGCAATCGTGATGTAGAGTTCCCTCTCTTGCCGGGCAATCGTGATGTACCACAACAAGAACAAAGAAGACAACCCAGCAGACCCACACAGCAAACACAGGGAGGTATGGACGACATATTCGCCCTCAATCATGAAATACAAGAATTAAATTCATTAGTTAACATCGCCGAACTAACCCGCGCGGTAAGGGAGCTTAATTCTAAACTTAGGGAATGCCGCAGCGAATCACAAATTTTTCTAACATACAATAGTTTCATGTCAAACCTAAACTCATACAGCTTCAGGAACTGAATTCGCTGCGGTTTACCGAGACAAATACAAAATCTGTTTTTACAATGTAAACGGGCTGCTAAACAAGATTCATCTTGTAAGCAACTTCATATATAAACATAAATTTGACATTATAGTACTAACGGAAACACATTTGAAACCAATTCACAAAATAAAAGTGCGTGACTACGACATACACAGGCAGGATAGGCCAGACGAAACCGGAGGGGGCGTGGCTCTCATTATTAAACGAACCATTCAGCATGTAGCTGCCTCGACCGTGAATACCAGCATCGAACACGCGATAATCAAAATTGGGGATATCACTGTAATAGGGGTATACAATAAACCACTAAATCACTTTAATAATATTGATCTTTATAACCTTATGGCCGCTGGGGAGAAAGTAATTGCAATGGGGGATTGGAATGCCAAAAATAAAGAGTGGGACGCAAACTGCTCAAAAAATAATAAAAACGGCAACACTCTCAGCGAATTTGCCGATACACATGATTGCCTTATTCATTATACTGATGAACCAACGTTCTACCCCTTTAGTGGACAAACACCTAGTACTTTAGACATTGCTTTGACAAAAAACATTGACAGCATACATAACATAACAACAATAACAACACTAAACTCGGACCACGACCCAGTTTACTTAGAAATCAGGACGAAAAAGAACATACAGAGACAAGACGGACAATACTACGACCACAAAACAACAAACTGGGTAAAATACAGGGAAATCATAGACAAAAACATAGTAATTAACAACAACATTACGACTACTGATGAACTTGACAATGAAGTAGACAAACTGACAAAAATCATAATAAAAGCAAGGGATGCTACAACAAAAATCAAAAAAGTCAAACTACACCACGAAAACATAACTACAGAAATACAGGACATGATCAATACAAAGAACTACATACGCAGACGTTGGCAACAGTATAGACAAAGGGATGACAGAATTAGACTATTTGACATTTCCAAAACAATCAACGCTGCATTACGAGACTTAAAAAACAAAAAATGGACCGACATATTACGAGAACTTACACCACAAGACAACTCAGTGTGGAAAGTTGCAAAGCGGTATAAGAAACCGGTTGTGCAGCTTCCCACACTCGAGGACAATAACGCACAATACATAACGGACACACAAAAAGGGGTAGCGTTTGGAACGTATTTCGAAAACAACTTTAAAAACAATAATGCAAATAACCCAGAGCAACAAAATATAGAGGACATAGTAGAGGACATTAAGCTCCTCCCCAGAGCAAACGTACCGGCAAATCAGAGGGTTACGCCGAACGAGGTAAAAGCGGTAATTAGCAAACTGAAAAATAGGAAGGCACCGGGTCCAGACGGGATATCTGGACTCATGCTTAAAAATATTTCCAAAAAAGCGGTCGTACAGCTGCATCACATCCTAAATGCACTATTTAAATTGCAGCACTACCCTAAACAACTAAAGGCTGCAAATATCATACCTATCAAAAAGCCCGGGAAAGCCGCGAAAAATATTGAGAGCTACCGTCCCATATCCCTTCTTAACTCACTGACGAAAACAATAGACACGATAATATTAAACAAATTACGCGTAATTGAAAACGACAAACAAATAATTCCACAGGAACAGTACGGTTTCCGCGAAGGACACGGTACGGTTGCACAAGTGATCAGAATTGCCCATCAAGCAAAAGAAGCTTTTAATAATCAAAAAGTAACCGTACTGGTCGCCTTAGACACAGAGAAGGCCTTTGATACCGTCTGGACCTGTGGACTTATCTACAAAATGTTTATAAATGAATTTCCTGTTTATATTGTAAAAACGATTCAATCATACCTACAGGACAGAACATTTAACATTAAAATCAACGATACAATCACAGGACCATTCAATGCAATAGCGGGGGTACCTCAGGGTTCGGTACTTTCGCCGCATCTGTACACGATTATGACCCATGATATGCCCATGGGTACTAATGGTGTACAGACGGCACTGTACGCTGACGATACCTGTGTGTACAAAACTTCGGAGCTGGCTGAAGTCGTGAACAGGAGGCTTGATATACACATAAACAGAACGTTAATTCCTTATCTGGACGCCAACAAGATGAGATTGAATGCTGCGAAATCCGAGAGCCTGATGCTCACGAAAAAGCGTACAGGCAGATCGCGATTAATACATAATAAGCTTAAGATCGGAGATCAGGTAATCGAATCTCAGCATTCAATTAAATATCTAGGTGTGTGTCTGGATAGGGAACTAACATTCAGTAAGCATATAGAGGATAGGGTGGCAAAAGCTAAAACTGCCTTAAGAACTTTGTACCCATTATTTCGACGCAATAACCACCTAAGTCGCGACAACAAAATTTTACTATACCGACAAGTAATAAGGCCAATATTAACTTATGGGTGCCAAGCCTTCTGTTCCATGACAGAAAGTCACTTCAATAAGCTCCAGGTAGTACAGAACAGTTGTCTGAGGCGGTCCTTGGGGTGGCTCCGTTATTCCAGGATAACGGACATGCACAGAGAGACATCCATGCCAACTATTAGAGCATACATATTAAACATCTCAGAGAGATTCTACAAAAATAGTCTTCCTCCAAACATAAAGGAAGACATACTTAATATCAATGAGGCAAACAGCGCACATAGGAAGCATGGATGTCTCCACAAAGCACTGACAATTTACAGACAAGTTTGAGACGTAATACACACACAAACATATACAGACTTTGCCCTGCGTATTCGTATTCAAAAATCTTTATTTACATATATACATTTAATTTATTCATATAATATTGAACACATTATTTCACAGATGGATTTCTTCTCGCGAATACTAGAAGTGTTCCGCTCCTGTTGTGACCTCTGTCGAAGTCATGACCGATGAATGGGCCAATGTAGCCAAATTACATGTTAATATTTGGATTAAATATAGCATCTCCTTGTTGAATAAACATTATATGCCAATTTAGGTTCATTAGCTAGAGCGATAATTGAATTTTGTTAGGTTTTTGTCTGATTTTACTTCTGTCTGTATTCCCTGAAAAACTTTTATAAAAAAACAGGGTTGTCCTTGTCTGTGTGTTGGTCTTGTGGTAGATTGTGGTGATTAACCAAATCACAGGGCTGCACTGTGCATCCCCAATCGCCACAGAATTCAGGACTTTAGGATCCAAAATTCAATCAATTTCAATTCAATTTCAAAATTCTTTATTAACTATATACATTATTTACATTTTATTAACAATAAATAATAATTATATTTGCGGGATAGCTTCTTGTGTGCTCCACCAGAAGCTCTGTCCCACAATGCCTAAAAAAGAGAATAGGCCATGGCCGATCACATAGCCGAATTATTATCCATGTTAATTTATTGATTTCGTTAGATTTGCGCCACCTCCTTGCTTAGGAAGCATCATGCGGCGATTTTAGATGTGCTTGTTAGATCAGTAGTGGAATATGTCTAAGGTTTTGTCTGATTTTACTTATGTCTGTGTCTTCCCTGAAAAACCGTTTGTAAAAAACAGGGTTGTCTTTGTATGTATGTGCGTCATGTCTTAGTTTATCGTTAGTCAAGCCAAATCGCGAGGTCTACAATATTATACCATCGTCGCGAGCTAGGATCACGGCAAGCCCTAATTCCAACTCGCGCCGGTGACGTCATAGTGCAGTCCTCCGTCCGACCTCTGTACGAGACTAGAAGTCGGATTGATTTGGCGAATTCAGTAGTCTGGTCACAGTTTGGGATATGTTACAAGGATTTGTCCAGTTTACGTATTTCGTTTGTATATTTGTAGTTTTTGGTGCAAACATCCATGAACTCTGTTTGCCCCATCCCCTTCAAACATACTGAATATGTCTTCCTTTAACCGCGTATGAAAACAGTTTTTGTAAAAGCTTTCTGATATTTTTAATACAAACTCTTTGATGGGTTCAATGGATGCTTGCGCATGTAAGTCACGTATTCTTGCATAGCGGTCGCACCCCAGCACAAGCCGAAGACACTTGTTTTGTGTTATTTGCAATTGTTCAAAATGTATATTTGCCATTGAGCAGAAGACTGGACTTCCATATGTTAGAATAGGTCTTAGCACCTGCTTATATATAAGTATTTTATTTTTGATGGTTACGGATCCAATTCAATTCAATTTCAAAGTCTTTATTAAATTATTTACACTATATACAATTTTAGGTATCTACACAATATTTTAAGATATATATTTACAATATATTTGATGTCTTCACAGAAGGACTTCTTCGTGTACTCCACGTAGTATTCCTCTCTGTTGAGGCCGATCTAATGGCCACGTTTGTGCCCGAACCTAATTAAAAATTTGAGTTTTCCCGACTACTCCTTATTTCTTACAATATTATTAGTCAAT